GGCCGGACATTCGACAAAACTGTTACGACGAAATACTGACTGGCGTAAAAACAATAGTCGAGAAATGTCTAGTAAGTTCAAATAATTGTATTATTATTATTAACATTATTTTTTATGTATATATATATATATATATATTTATCTCATTTTTTAAGTTAATCGTTTAAGATTTTATTTTTCATATTTTGCTGTAAATCAATTAATTAATAATATTCTTACATAATTAAACTCAGTATATTTTTTTAAATATGCCAATGCCATTATTAAAACTTATATTTTTCCCTAGTCACACGTTAATGTCATTATAATTGGCTTGTTTTCTATAATTACATTTATATATAATTAAATTATTTTATTATACTAAACTGCATATTATTAATTTTTGTAATTTTCAGAACGATATTGAAGGAAAATATCGAGGTAAAATAGATGAACTCGAATCTGAAATTAATAAACGTGATTATACAATAAGCACACTGTGTGAACAATTCAATCAGGTAACTTTTTGTTTTTACATTACTTGATATCTATTATATTATTTAAAATTTTAAAATCAATTCATGCTTATCCAGAAACTTTGCGATCAGCCCGTCGACGAAGGAAAATTAGGATCATTACTTGATAATTATTCAAAAAATATAGAAGAGGACGAAGAAAATCCATTTATAGTGAGTTTTGTTATGATACCTATACAACATTGTATAAGCTGTAAAACATAGAACTGACAAATGTAATTACCCAACTATAGATATTATGTAATAACATTTGTTCTAATCAATATCTAAAAATTAATTGTTTGAATTTATAAATATTTTGATTATTATTAGGCATAAATCCAAACATTACTTAAATATTGGTTGAATAAAGGTTATTACAAAAAATATATATATATATATTGGTGTATAATATATATATATATATATATCAAATCTTTGCATTTTTCAATAATATACTCAGTTACATTTTACGCAATGATTAATTGTGTTCCTATTATATGCGTGGAAATGTATTTTAATTGATTTCAGAGAAATGATTCTGTAGATACTGTCATGTGTCCAAAAGTTTCTTCGTTCAACAGTTTATCCCCATTCAGTATAGATGACTCAAGTTGTTATAACCCAAATTCCAGTAGCCCAGTGTTGTTCTCGAGTAAGTCTTGGGAAGACCGGTCGGAAGAAGAGAACTTGGAACTCCGAGATTTGCCCAAGTCAATCATTCCAGAACCATCATGGCAGCACGATGAGACCAGAATTGATATGAATTGCACAGACGACGAAGAAGAAGAGTTTCCACCCAGGTGGGAGAACTGGGAAGCGGAGATGTTAGTGGGACACACTAGTCACAATGATCTCCACGCTGGCCCAGAAATTTTCAGCCGAAGGTCTTTGGACGAAAATAGTATGATCATACACAGAGGATTTCAGGGACGGAGGAGGTGTTTGTCGATTGATAACGTGCCATTTTCCAATTCGATATTAAGAAATTTTGGACAATACGTCCGTTTGGGAGGCAGTTCGTCACAAACGTCTTCGCCCGATATACTGCCGACCATATCGAAGAGTTGTTTTTCGTTGGTATCGCAGCCCGAAAATTAGATTYAATTTAAACCAATTATTATTATTAATATTATTATTGTTGTTGTTGTTGTTATTGTTGTTATTTTTGGATAGTAGACATTTTACCATAACAGGATAGTTGCATGGTTCTATCATGACTATATTTATTATTATTGTTCGTAATATTTTAGTAACATACGAATTTATTTTTAAATTATTGGAACATGTTGCCACTGCAGCATTGTGCTGCATAACACAATTACAATTACAGTCAAATATGTTAAGAATAGGGACCAATTAAAATTWAAATTTAAATTTCCGTTATATTCAATGACATAGAAATGCATAATTATCTACAGATACCATAAACTATAAAGTACTTATGCAGTATAGAATTTTATTATGATTGATTATTTTTTATTATTTTTTATTTAAAATCTGTTTGAASAAATTGTTTTAGCTAGTAATGTAAATGTATGAAATATTTGGTTRATGGCAAAAATCTATTTATTTTGAAAAAATGTTCGGATTCATAGATAAATGATGAATAGTTAGATTAACTACTAAATTATTAATTAATTAACTAAAATTTTATTTCTACATGTGAAGTAATTCAAATAAATTATTTACTCTATATTTATAGTTTTGGTGAGGCCTTAGGTGACAATGAAAAACATGATATTATGCATGTGAAACGTAGAATATTTAATTTCAAAATAAACTTTATGTCTTACACACACGTATTTCGTACATTTCTAGTCGAGGTCTTTAGAACAAAAAAAGCCCCAATTGTTTAAAAATATCATCGGTTTATTTGGAATCAATTTTTATCCAGTATGAAATTCAATTTTTTAAATATTTATATTAATATTTAATCTGCTGAATTGAGTAATTAGATTCTAAGATCCAACACAATTGGTTTTTTTATTATTTTTCACTAAATAATTTGGCATTCATGAACAAGTTCGTAAGGCAAAAAGTACGATATTACTATGCAACTACTCTAATCCTGTTATAATATATTATATTACGCTTGACCTATTTTTTGTTATTAWAATATATTATTATGTATAAACATTAATAATATCTACATACATTGATGATTTTTATCGAATATATTTTGTATTAATTTGGTCACAACAACTGAAAAACTAAATATATTTTTTCCTTCCGTGTTATCGAGAACCAGGGAGGGGACTGCTGTTAGCATTGCTTCCCCCTTAAAAACTAAATATCTTATATTATGTTTTATTTAATACAAAACTATAACAGTTATTGTAGCTATGGTCAGATAAAAATGGTTGACCGTTGCTGAGACAAACGTCCTCGTCTCGATACCTCTGATGCGAATTGATATTTGATATTTTTTCCACACCTTACCACGTAATATATCTTTCCAGAAGGTTTTCTCTCCGGTAATATTCATTATTTATTATATCATTATAATATTAAATGTGATTAGCTTATTTAGACTAATTTAATTGTGGTCGTGTTGTTGAAGTAAAATTGTTGTTATTAGTATAAAATAAAACATTAAATGTGTTTATAATTTAAAAAAAAAAWTTTTAATGAGACATCTAAAGTAGCATTGTACAACTTTATAACGAACTGATTAATTTCTGATCATTATACACAGACACAATTTAAAAGGAAATACTACTATAATACAATAATATTGTAAGGGACCAGTGTAAAATTCAAATTTAATTAACAATTAAAACTTACATTATTTATTACTAAGTTTATTCATAAATAATATTTCTGCTCAAAATCAGAAATAATTAAATATTTTTATATTGTTTAGCCAT